CCACCACCCTCCCCGCCCCGCCGCACACCAGTCGCCGCGCGGAACCTCTGGGAAACACCGCGCTGCGCCGTCGTCCTGCAACTTGTCGTCGCCTTTCGCGAAATTCCGCTGCAATTGTTGTGACGGCGGGCTGTGGCGTGCAGTGCACCGGGTCCCGCACAAGCCCTCGCCGCCGCCCCCACCGGGACCGTGCGCCCCGTGGCCTGCCCCGTGATCCGCGGCCCGCGCAGCGAGCGGCGACAGCCCTGGTCTACTAACCTAACCTGGTCGACCCTCCCCGCTCCGCGCGCCGCCGCGCTCCGCACCACCCCGGCCCGGTGCACCATGTGACGGGCCGAGACGACCCCCCGCGCCGCAGCTGCTGCAGCCGCGCACGGACCGCGCCGGACACCCGGACACCGTCACACACCCCCGCACGAGCACGTGCGCCCGCGAGGTGCACGCCGCCGACAGCGCGGTGGAGCGACGCGCACCCCCCGCCAGCGCGGGGCTGCCGCCGCCTGTCAGAGGTGAGATAACAGTGACGGTGATGTGCACCGCCCGGCAAAACATTGCGGATGCAGCCGATGATAAGGGGAGCAGAGCAGTGTCAGTTTGGCAGTTGTGGCAGGCGTTTCCTCATCAGCGTGCCGAGCGTGCCTCGGGGGGTGCAGCGACATCACTGCGCTGGTTCCGCACGGAGGGCCGTGTTCCCGGGTCGTCTTCCCTGCTCAACCCCTGATTGACACTCGCAGTGCCCCCAGGGTGTGTTGTCATCTGCCTGGGTAACTTTCAGACAGCGAACCTGCCACGCCACCCCCGCGGTGGTGGTCGAGAGGCTCTATGCCGACTGCATTGGAGGAGGGGTGGGTGGGGGGTGGTGGTGTCCGTCGTTGGCTGTTTTGCCGGCGCAGGCCATTGGACGAGGAGCGGATAGCGAGGCCGTACAACACGCCAGCGCGCCGTGGACGAGATAATGAATGAATTACAACCCTTCAATGCAGGCTCTGTGACGTCGACCCCCGCGCGCTATATCCCCGGCCTCCACCGGCGCTCTCGCTTTGTCCTCACCTCAAGCTATAAGGTATCACAGAGAAACTTAATTAAACGGGACAAAAGCCCCCCTCATCCCATTTCCCTGCCGTGCTGGGTGGGCGTGGCGTGCGGAGCGGAGAGTCGCGTTGACAAGAGGAGCCCCCGCGCCGCCCCCGCCCCCCGAACCTCCCCACATAGCCCGGCACCCAGAAAGCCCGACTTCCGTCTCAAACGCGACTCTTAAAATTTTCATCCCCCCGGCACGTATCCTCCCCCTCCCTCATTCACTCACCTCCTCGCCTCGCCCCGCCCTGCCCTGCTGCGGCGAGCTCTACCAATTAGCAGGTGCGACAGAGAGGCCCTCCTGGCGGCCTGCTCCCGCTCGCCCTCGCGGCCGCAGCTCCCCGCGCTCCCCGCCGCCGCGCCACTCTCCCGTTATAGGCGCGCTCGCTCACCTCGCCGTAAAGTTCACACTTTAGGGCTCTATTCAGCCGTGAATTCTCTTGCTGTCAAATTTCCGGTGCCCTCCACCCTCCACCCCCTCCTCC